TAACTTCTCGTGTTGGAAGGGAAAAGATAAAATCATTAATTAATTATTTAATTTCAAACACAAATAGGTCAAAGTGGTTACCTCAAATCTTACTGCTGTCCCTGCAGGTATGTTTAACCTCATGCCATGCGCTTTATGTCGATCAAACTCCAACAATGGGTTCGCCTCAATGAAGTTATAGTGGCTGCCTACCTGGACATCAAAGACCTCCTTAAAGTATTGGATAAAAGGAATATGTCAACTGTTTTGCATTATTTTATTACATCGAGTCCTTCACATGTTCACATTTGCACCAATTATGTGAGTCTAAAAGCTAATTTCTATTTGTAACCCACACACACACACACACACAAAGGATGAGAAGAAAAGCTCTGAAGAGATGATTCTTATCTATAATACGAATTCGGGTTAGGCCAAAGTAACTATTTTGAATATTTTATAATTGTCAGTAACAGACTTGAAATTTTAGCAGCCAAAAACTCTAAAATGTTTAGACTGAATGAACTATGGCAGGGAACATTTCCAAGTATACTAGATATCTCAGTCAAAATTGACAATTTCATAATTTCACAATGAACATATAATTGATTTCTTAACCCTGAATCTTAACAGCAAGCTACGATAAATAAACATCCTGATCAAATATCATGTAACTTAAGCTTCTAACCTACCCAACAAGGCACACAAAAATACTCCACTCAACATGTACAAAACGAAAAAGAAGGAACCTTTCCTACCATAGTTCTTTTTTTTCGTTCTTTTTCCTCCCTTTTAGGGTGAGGCATGCTTGTCAGATTACAAAATTCAGAATTTAAAAAAGAAGAATTGTATATACATGCCAAGCACCTGAATTGGTCTATCTCCTTTGTTAGTAACTTTGAGAGTGATTGCTTTTCTTCCATGGTTCAGTCTTATAAGTCCCTCTCGAGAATATAATTCACCAGGGATTCTTCCATCTTCTACCATAGGAAACTTGTCTAAAGAAGGAACTGCAGAAATAACATTCTTTAATAAATCATCTTTGTAACTGAAGGAATTCATAAGGATCATGCTGGAAATTAGAAAAATAATCAATAACTTCCACAAAATGGCATATATAATTTAGAGCTTATTAACATGCTCTGTTAATTACCACATACATCAGATCAAGAACCAATTATTACTATGATGAGAAGTGTTTTCTGATGCTTTGTGAGTTTGTGATATAATTACCAGGAAGAAAAGAACCATATAATGCTAGCTCCAAATCCCCATTCTCATGCGCAATAGGATCATGGATGGTGATTAACTTGGTTCCATCAGGAAAGGTCCCCTCAACCTAAACGAGGATCGTACATTATCTACTTGGACTCTCGAATTGCACATGCAAGAAACTTGGAAACAAAAGACATCATGCTTATATACAGATTTAAAAAGTTGAGTACCTGAACAGTTTCCAAGAGGTGCCGAACAGGGGGAAGAACTTGTCTCCTGACAACAAAGAAGGAACTTTTCAAACTCCTATTCGCCTAGATGCACGTATGCACCACTGAAAACACACCCACTATTGAGAACCCTCGAAAGCAGTAGCCAAGCTGGGAGGAAGTCCCGGTTTTCCGAGAAAGCCCCATTAGTGGTATAAGCGAATAAGATTTAGAGAAGTTTTAAGCACACACCCCCCCCCCCCCCCTCCCCGCACCCCTTACCCCAACATAGTTGATCTTGCATAGTTGCATAGGTGTTTCACCTATTTGTTCATGATGGATAATATATCTTTGATCCTTATAAATCTTATTGTATTATTTTGGCACTAAAAATAATTGCTCTGTGTAAATGTATGCTATTGAAATTAAACAAAATGATCTTAAAGAATATAATTGAGAACTTTGAAAACTAACACCTTCCAAGCAATTGTCTCCCAAGGTTCATCAACTCTGCCACACTCCTATCTCCATCTCGAACAAACTCCAAAACCTAATCAAAATAAATTAGTCCAACACAATCTATGCAGTTCCATATGAAGCAGCATCCACCAGTTCATTCATATCCATCATAGCACAAACAACCCATATAAATATAATCCTAAACTTGACATAAAAATATTTTAAAAACAACAATAGTGCATCTAATGAAGGATGGGAGAGGTGGGATTCTGAGAGGCCTATTACCTCCCAAGGGACCTGACTTACCACTAAATTATACTGTAAGACCAGAAACTTTGAAAAGATAATAAAGAATTAATCCATACATAGACACAATATTTCACTTGAATATTCATTCGCAAAAAGTGTATATATATAGGGAGAGTTAATTCCACCAGAGGACCCTTGTCTTTGGTGGCAATTGACTATTATTTTTTTGGACACTTTTAGTCATTCTAATGACTTTTACTTTTATAGTAAGGGCATTTTTGTCTTTTCATATTTTTCTTTCCGGTCCGACAGAGGTGTTTAGACCTTGGTCATTCTTCTCAAACTTTACCCATATAACCAACTGAACTGCCCGTGAGGACTGAATCACACTATCATGCTTTACCTACTTACTGAGTAAAAAATCAACTAAATGAATACAGCTATAGAAGAAGGCACGAGATGTTGAAAACCTGAGATGCTATAAGTGCAACAGCTTCAGTGTAGTTGAGGCGCAGGCCGCGAGCAAGACGTTTCTGCGCGAGATGCCCTGCATTGTGGAGCATCAATTTCTCAATTTCTCGCGGGGACAATTTCATTTTTCTGCTAACTTTTCGCTCTTTAGTTCACTGCCAACCACCATCAAAATCAAAACGTACAGAGATCAAAGAGCTACCAGATTGAAATTCAACGAGAAGCATGATTAAAATTTTCAGTAACGATATCAGGAGCATTTCTACAAAGTAGAGAAAAAAAAATGCAAAAACGACGCAAATTGAAATGAAATAACTGATAAAGGATAACATAGAAACGAATGTACTGGAAACTCACCGGAGTTCCGGTGAGATGATGAAGTTGACCTTTGTTTTGGCTTTGAGCTTCGCTTTCCGGGAACTGAGCTTTTGTGAAAGCTCATTCGCTCATTCCAGGGATGATATGCAAACGGTACTTCCACAGTCCACAGTACTACTTTAATCGTCATTAATAATTTTTTAATTAACTAGTTTATTCTCATCATTTAATACTCCATAATTTTTTTTAAAAAAATAGTTAAAATAGACCTTCAAATTTTAACTAAAAAGTCAATTAATATCATAAATTTTTAATATATGTAATTATATTCATTAACAATTTATTTTAATGCAGTGAAACTCAAAAATCGATTAATGACTTGCTAGGTTATTAGGGTTCCAGTAACCTGTCAGCGAGATTCCGGTGAAATTTCATACAACAAAGTGACCGGCGATCGTTCGTTGGTCATTTGGTAGCCTGAAATTTTGTCAGAATTTCGCTGACAAGTTGTCGAAACTCTAATGATCTGTGATAGTATATTATTAAGTGGTTTTTGAACTTTGTTGTATCAAAATAAATTGTTGATGAGCGTAATGACATATTTAAAAAGTTTAGAGATTAATTGACTTTTTAAATAAAGTTAGATAGCATATTGGACTATTTTTTCTAATTTTTTCTTTTACATTGGATTGAATGAAGCCATGAACGTTAAACAAAAATTCAAACTCAATTATAGTATCTATAAAATATTACATATATTAACTACTCCGTATTAAGCAACAAAAATTAAAAAAAAAATACTTAATTAAACGTAAAAGGACAACCTCCGAAGGTTCGTCAAATTCATGTAAGAGTCTACTAGACTACTACATGTACTCCATAATCTTACTCTTTAAATTTTTTTTTTGATGTGATGGATTCTGATAAGTTATTTTTTTTATGTGGATCTCAATATAAGTGTCTATATCAAGATTTTGTGTAAGTTGAGAGTACAAAATGGGAGTACATGTAACATTTTTCTTCATGTAACCTCTGTCCGCTTTTATCAATGCATGCAACTCCAATCCAATCACCTTATTGTACGCCTATGGAACTTTGCTACGCATTTATGAGGTTTACTATATCTATCTTGAGTTTTCTTGAACTTGTACATAGCATCTCATAGCTTGTAGAATAGTCTAAAGGCAGGTATATAGCAACTAGAGATGTAGAGATGATTAGAACATTCAAGAACCTCAGACAATCCTCAAGCTTGTATAAAGATTTTGGAAGGATTTTAGAGAGTAAAATCCTAACCGTGAGTTTAAGTAGATCTCCACCATCTACTGAGGAAAGTGGAATTAGTATAAATACCCTCAAGGGGCCTCATTTGTAACCATACAAGAGTTCATGCAATCTAAGTTCCTTACAAAACTTTCAAGGGCTTTCTTAAACTTCTTTTTGTGATTTTTATCTTACTCACTTTTTAGTCATCCCATGATTTACTTAGACTAATGCAATTGTAAAGTCAGAAATTTATAACTTCTCATGCAATTCTAAAATTAGAGGCATATACCTTTCCTCCAACTAAGATGATAATCACTTTCCTTTGTTGACTCAATTTCACAAGAAGTTCATGAATGAGTTTTTGTCACTCATCAAAACCATAAAGTTGAAGAAACAAATAAAGAGTTCAAACTCACTCGAACAAAAGATCTTTTATTTAGTATCGAACAAAATGCCTTTAAAAGCTCTATTTCACCTCACGAAAAACATCTCTACGTACAAAGTCTTACTCCAAACTCATCTTCCATCCAAATTCTTGTAGTAAACAATAAGAGAAATCTCACTCCCAAATTCATTCAGTCCAAACTTCTTGAAGTAAATAGACAAATAATATTTTAAAAAAAAATGTCCGAAACACCCCTGAATGTTTTAAACTAAAGGACCATGCAATAATATTGAAAAAAAATGCCTAAGTGTAATAATATTGAAAAAAATACCCCCTATGATGTGAGTTCAACAATGTGCTCCTAGCCTTAATTGGCCAGAGGTTGAAAGCAATACAAATTCATATCATAATCTTTTTACCAGCAGAATATTTCTACAATAGATCACATAAAATATGGCAAACCTATGCCTCATCCTTCATTTCAAATTCAAAATGAGCATAACAACCGCGAAAAGTCAGAGATGATCATAAATTTATTAGCAAAAAAATCTACCCTGGTACAATTTTGTTAACTCCTCGGAAGATGACAAGCCGCGGATAAAACAACAAAAAAAAAATTATAAAAAAAGTAGAATTTGTCCTTTCAAGGATGTATCATAGATAATCAACAAGCAAATACAATTGAAATTCCAAATTCCGGTTCTAGTCTTTCTAGGAGGACAAAACTTTGTGAACTTGTGTTGTGACCTCCATTGGTGGTTTCTCGGCAGGTAGGTTAGCAACAATGCCCTTCTTTGAGTAATAATCTATTACCTGTATTCCAAACAGTTCAAATTTGCATAAGATACATGAATACCAAGTTTAATGTAATATACAGGTAGACTATGACACTATGTAATCTGTTTCCATGGCATAACGAACTTAATAACCTATAGATTTTCTTGATGAAGGGACAATAATTTTCAATCATATAAAAGGTATAGAAAATTAACTTGGGACTAGGAGGAGTCTAGAGGACTAGAAATATAAGAAAGCTAATGGACTACATAAGAGAACAATAAATGGCAAAAGACATAGAATCGCATAGCAAAGTAAGACTACTATGCTTCATCAATAGAATATACTTGATGACAGTGCTGGAAGATTAAGAGTAACTTACTTTTATGATCTATAGGCTCATGAAGATACCTTTATCACATTACTTTCAAGAGATATGCTCCCAAAACAAGACATTTTAGATATGAAGGTATACAAACATATAGTGGAAGACTAGTACCCTTCATAGCTTCATGTTTAAAATGAATATTGAACTCAAAATATTCGTTAATTAGAATTAAATTGAGAGATCTAACACACAGAAGACAAAATTCTGTTACTCAGACTACAAAAGATATATGCAACAGCAATATAGCTTTCAACTTTGAAAAATAAATAATAATAATAATAAAAACAAAACCAAATGGAATTATAAAAGCCCACCGGCTCAGTTTGGCGGTGAAAGGCCTCAAGCCTTGACTTAAGAACAGCAGCAGTATCATCTTTACGTTGAATGAGAGGTTCTCCAGTGACCTACAGGAAAAAGACCCTTCAGTTAAGCTCAACAATTATTAAGTAGCACTAGCAATGGGATACAAAAACATCTCTCTATAGATATTAAATACTCATAACCATATCTCTAGCAATATGGATAATTTTTACATAAATGCACTTCAGTAATTCTCAGATTTTAAATGGTAAGCTTGCTAATCAATTGGTGGAAAATTTTAAGACCAACGTATTGGTATATTAAAATTATAATCCACAGAAACAATTTTAATTGAGATGCTTTTCATCTAGAAACAGTATTACAGTAGTAGGCTAATTTTGAATTTTTGATGCAATACAATTTTATTCAACAAATGCTAATTGTTACCATTACTACTTCAAGTTTTGCATCCAACATCCCCTGGCCCCAAAGAAAAGGAAAACTAAAGTAAAAGAAAGAAAATTGATCAATTCAAGCTTACATCATCAACTCCAGAAACTTTAGGGGGTGCAAACTTTGTGTGGTAGGTTCTTCCACTTGAGGGGTGGATCCAGCGACCAGTAATCCTCTCTTCCAAGATAGCATCATCAATTGCAAAATTCAACACCTTATCCACCTTGGCACCCTGCTTCTGAAGCATTTCATCTAGCTGCATCCAATAAAAAATGAAAATATCAGAGGGAACCAGAAACAAGGTGGAATTATCTTTAAAATGCACATAAAAATATTAGCCAACAACCTTCTCTGCTTGAACCACTGTCCTGGGAAACCCATCAAGAATGAACCCCTTTTGACATGAGGGTTTCTTCATAGCTTCATCAATGATACCAACAACTAAGTCATCAGAGACTAGTTCACCCTAAAAGTAACAAACATTTCACCTATTAGCAACCAACCAATCATGGCAAAACAAAAGTCAAATGAACTTCCAATAAAACTATGATATACCTTGTCCATGGCTTCCTTGGCCTTGATGCCAAGAGGAGTTTTGGCAGCAACAGCAGCTCTCAACATGTCACCAGTGGCCAAATGGCATAAACAGTAGTCATCCTTAATGATGGGGGACTGTGTACCTTTCCCAGATCCAGGTGGACCTAACATTCATTCAAATAACCATTTCATAAAACAATTGTAACAAGTTCCACATTCATGGTGAAAACAGGGTAAACCAACAAGGAGTACAAAGAAACGAGTTAAAAGCATCATGAACTCACCAATAGGTATTACCTTCAGAAATGAAAATGCATCCAGAGAGTAATAGATGCTAAAGCTCTCATGACTTTTTTTAGACAGAAAAAAAAAAAGGAACTTTTTTTTTGAAGGAAAAATACTCTTTTATTAAAATAGATGCTCAATTACATACATTACTAATTGATATCTAACAGAAATGAAACCAGCTTCAACAAAGTATGGTTTTCAATGACCTTAATCCATACACTAAAATGGGAGAAAATACAGAATAAGAAAACGGCTAAAGGTCTATCAAAATTTCAAAGGCTCCTTTTTTAATCTCATAAAAAACCTTAGTAACTTAGGGACAGAAGCGTTAATGACACAACACAACTTCAAATTTTCAGTACTTCTACGAAGCAAATCTAGGAATCAATACAATTACGTAACAGCCGCCAAAAAGGAAACACATTCACACCAAAACCTCCAGATCCAAGAGAAAACAGGCACACGAGCCCAGCAAACACGCAATTATATGCAAAAAAACACACAGGGGAAAAAATTATAAATGAGAAAATTACCGATGAGAATGAGGCGCTTGTCAGGCTTGGAGGAACACTTGAGCCGGCGGAGGAGCTCCGTCATGATGGACTCAGTCGGGACGTCCTCCAGCGACACCGTCGAAGCTGCCATGTCTCCGCCGCTTGGTGTTGTTAGGGGTTCGGTGTTTCCGATGGTTTTGACGCAAACGAGAACGGGAAACGGTACGCTAACAAATCTATATATATAAATAAATATATAAATGTACGTATCGGAAGCCGGGCAGTAGGTGAGATGACGACTGTTGACTGAGCGGTTGAGAAGTGCAGGCGAGCGGCAGGTTTTGGACTTCGGGCCAACTTTACTTTTTCTTTTGCAGTTGGGCCGGACCAAATAATTATTGTAAAAAAGTTTTTTTTTTTTTTTTTCCGGGTGTGTTACGGAGTATTATAATTTATGATGGTATGACGGTTAACCGAACTTTGTCGGTTCGGGACTTCGGTCGATTAATCGAAAATTATTCAAAGTTTACACATCCCTATTAGTATCAGGTTGCTTCTTTAAGTGGGATGTAATGAGTTTAAGTCTCAGTGGAAAGTAGTAGCTCGTATGTTTGGATGTTTCCTTTTTTAATAAAAAAAACAAAAACAAAACATAATATTTACAAAATCTACTAAAATATATAGATTGATTACATATATGTTTGGGTATTCCCTTTTTTAATAAAAAAATAAAACATAATATTTACAAAATCTATTACGGAGTAAAATATATGGATTGATTACATATTTACATAGGTGTTACAACTTGCAAATTTGGGAACGTGATGGGTTCAAGCCTCAATGGAGGCGTAGTAGCTTGTATGTTTGGGTATTTCCTTTTAAAGAAAAGACATAATATTTACAAAATCTACTAAAATAATTATGTTTAATTTTAATTTTTTTTTTTTAATTCGAACACTCTCATTTGGTCCTAGTATTATTGTGACAGTATCATTTTTTGTCTTTCGTCAACAAAATCGTTGAAATGTTGTTAAATACAAGGGCATTTCGATCTTTTTATGAAGAGTGAGCTGACCCAACTAATTTTTATGTTTTTTTTTTTTTTTGAAAAATCAATAATTGAATACCAAAATGCTTTTTGTATTTAACAATATTTAAATCGTTTTATTGATAAAGGACAAAATGGTCATTCCACAATAATACTAGGACTAAATAAGGTTTGTTTGGTAAAAAATGACTAAAGCTAGACTGTCAATTATAAATCTATGACAAAGAAATGGAATTAACTGGACACGTTGCGACACACACACACAAACAAGTACTGCACCCATTCATACTAATTCCAAAAATATGTGCAAAATGAATGTGAAAATTGTTTATGAAACCAGACACATTCCGACAGTAGTATTTGGACTACCTGTAAAGTTATTGTTGTTACTATCAAGTAAATAAGTTATGAAAATAAAACAAGAGGTACTACTCGTGAAACATCTACAAATATAATAATAATAAATAGGAATAAGGGTCAAATAGGCCACTGAACTGCACATCAAACTACAATTAGACCATCGAACTCAAAAAATATACAATTAGATCCCTGAACTACACAAATTTATGCAATTAGGTCTAAATTGACATGTTTACCTGCCATGTAGGTTTTGGATTTTAAAAATAATTTTAAACAAAAAATTTAATTAAAAAAAATTAAAAAAATACACAGAACGGCCGGAGACGAAATCGTCTCCGGCCGTTCTTCGTCTCCATGGCAGGAGACGAAGGTCTTTTCGTCTCCCTGGCCGAGGAAACGAAGGGAGACGACCTTCGTCTCCATGGCTGGATACGAAGTTCTTCGTCTCCTGCCATGGAGACGAAGAACGGCCGGAGACGAAAAATCGTCTCTGGCCGTTCTGTTTTTTCTTTTTTTTTTTTTTTTTTAAAAAATTTAATTTTTAATTAAAATTTTGTTTAAAGTTATTTTTAAAATTCACAACCTCCACATCAGCAAAATATTAGGTAAACAGGTCATTTTAGACCTAATTGCATGAATTTGTGTAGTTCAGGGATCCAATTGTACTTTTTTTGAGTTCGATGGTCTAATTGCAACTTGGTCTACATTTCAATGACTTATTTGACCCTTATTTCTAATAAATATTAATATTTTATTCAATACTTTCACATGAAACATGTAGGGGGGAACTACAATTGCAAAATATCAACAAGCGCTTACAAGATCAAGAGTTCATAGTACGACTAAGATCCAGTCATAGTTCATAGTACAACTAAGATCCAGTCATATACACAACAAGGTAAATTCACAACTTTCTACACCATAATCGCATAGCATGATGCTACCATATATGCTATCACCCGTAACCCAATTGAAAATGAAACACTACCAACAAAAAAGAAGATGACAACTAGCAAAGATGAAGACAATGACTATACTACCTAAAAAGTGTATTAAGAACACAGAGAAATTCAAACCAAAGGTATTATTTATTTAAACTATCTTTTTTTAGACTAAGTATTTGAACTATTAATTTTTCAAAGTTGTAAACATTTATTTTAGTAACAATTATAATAAATTTCCTATATTATCTTACATTCATATACTTTGAATTACATATTTAAATAAACAAATTTGGCATTCAATTACATATATATGAACTTCTCCAGTATTATATTGCATTGATATACTTTGAAATACTTATTTAAATATAAATATTACGTATTACCCTATTTGCACAATGCACACATAAAATTAGTACTATAATAATTATAGGGCTGAAAGTAAAAAATGTTGTTATAATTTATGAATCTATGTTAACATAATCAATACAAAATATAGAAAGAAAAAAAAAAAGACTTATATGAATTGATTACATAGGTGTTACACTTGTAAAATGCATAGAATTGAGTAAATGGGGAACCATTTATATTTTTATCGTGTACAATAACAAAATTGTTCAAAACAAGTCATACATTTAATTATTGTCAAAATTAGTTAAGTTTGTCACACCAATCATTAAATCCTCATAATGTAGGTTGATGTGATTTACAATTTTACAGGTTACATATAAACAAAGTTTATTGTATGTATATTCTCATTTCTCTCATCACCAATAAAAATAAAGTCAATTTATTCATATTGATCAAATAATTAACTTAGTAATCACAAAATTACAATATTAAATCACAATAAAAACAATTTATGATTTTAATAATCACAAAGTTACGACATTAAATCACAATAAAAACAATTTATGACTGATTAATATCAAACACGAAGTTTATTCAATGGCACATATGCCACATATACAAAAGTTGTTACGGAGTACAATTTATTTATTTGAATAAATATTTTGTTCTGGAGACAATTGGGGGATGACGAGCATCGATCCAGTCACGAAGTTGGACTTTGACAAACAGAGAAAATCACGTTCTTTCGCACCGCCAAACCGCGGCGATCTTAACATCTTTCCTCATCTAACTTTTCTTCTTGATTAATCTTCTCAACTTTTCTTCATCGACTACCATAATCAAAGAGTTTAAAAATGGTAATAGGCCAATACAAATATTGAAAAGTCAGGAAAATGGACATGCTGAGGCAGTGAGGCTTGCATTTTGGCTTCTCTTCTACATTGCTGTAGCGGCCATTGTCTACAATCCCGGTAAGCATCATCCATACGCAGTGAAAGCAATCCTGAGAAAATAATGCATTTTTAAAGCTTATTTGATGCTTAGAAGCTTAGAACTGGCATTGATGTTTGCATGTTTTAGGTTGAATTTTATTTGTTGTGATAGTTTACTTTTAATAGTGAATGTAGGGTTTTAAGTTTTAACTTTTCTGTTGTGATGATTGCGACACTAAAACACACAGAGGAATAATGGTAAAATTGTACAATGAATGGTCGGTTTGTTTTGTCAGACTGTCAGTGGATGATGAGCTCAGTGACTGGACTTGAAGATGCCTAAGATGCCATTATTTAAAATTTGCTTGTTAAACTTGCATTTGAAGGATACATTCATACAAACAAGAATGGGCCCTTTCTGACAGGGTATCAAATCAGAGGATGTTTCGTCTGTTTTGATGTCCTTTTATGTGTGGATAGTGTGCCTATCTTCATAATTTGAACTTGGGAGTAGGTTTTTCTTTCTCGTCTTTAGGTTCCTTACTAAGGAGTAGTGTTTTTCCTACAGCATTTGAAGTGGATTTTAAGCTATGGTTCTCGGGCTGAGATCGAGGCACAAGAAGGGTGCTTCTGTTCAAGTAGATTTTGTTATCCATGTGGAGGAGGTTAAGCCTTGGCCGCCATCGCAGTCGCTTAGATCTGTTCGGTCTGTGTTGCTCGTCTGGCAGAATGGTGATCAGAACTCTGGGTCTTTCATATCTAATGTAGGGGATGCGAGTATTGAATTCAATGAGTCCTTTGCTCTCTCAGTAACTCTATGTCATGAAAAGAGGGCTCGTGATAAGTTCCAGAAGAATTTGTTGAATCTTTACCTATACGAACCTCGGAAGGACAAGGCGAGTAGAGGGCAACTGTTGGGGACAGCCACACTAAATCTTGCAGATTTTGGGGCTATTGAGGAGGATATGAGCATTTGCACTCCTGTGAACAGCAAAAAGAGTTCAAAAAGCTTTGAGCAACCCAGCATGTTCGTTACAGTACAGCCTGTTCACAAGGATAGCTCAAGTTCATCTTCTAAGGTCAGCTTATCAAAAAGAACGTCCACTGAGAAGGATGAGCAATCTATTGCAGATTCAGTGAATGGAGGAAATGATGATCAGTCTGAGATTGCCTCTTTCACAGATGATGATGTGTCATCACATTCATCCCTGGATGTCACTTCATCTTCCACAGAGGCCGCTAAGGCTCCACCACCTCAACATGAGAAGGTAGTTAAACTGGTTCTATTTTGCACCTTTTCCCAATCACATTAAATCTTTTACTAATTAGTTGATTTCCCAAGCACATTGTGATTGGAATTCTCATTCAAAGTCACAGTTTCATCTTGTCTTGTATTGCTTACTGAGACAAGATGGAGAATTCCAGTTGCTTGTACACTGGCTTAAGCACTAGTCTGAATCCTGTGTGATGCATGAAATTACCAGAATTAATTCTTATCGTGTAACATTTGGAACTTGCTCTGTGCCTATTGATGTTCTTTTCCTCTTTCCCCCAAGTTCTCTGTCTTGTTTTTGTGTACGTTTGAAGGGAGGTAATGGCACTTTTAACGTCACAAAAAATGCAGGATGGAGTTGAATCTGCAAAAAATAACTTTGGCAGGGAACATATCGACTCTGATACACTTCAAGCACTGGTCCCTGCAGCATCGCTTGAGAGTGTTCCTTCTAGGTGTTTGGAGAGTCCAGCTGAAGGTACAAGTGGGAAGTCCAACATTGTGAGAGGCCTTGAGCATAAAATCACAACTCATATTGAAGAAGTTGATAGTAGCAAACACCCAACTAAAATAGATACACAACCTGTCGAAGACAACTGCTTTGATAAAAAAATTTCCAGTGTTGAAAATTCAGATGGTTGTATCCAAACAAGTTTGGATCTGGACCCTGGAAGGACTCATGACCTTCAAGAATCCCAAGGGAGAAAAATGAGCCATGCTGAAAATAAATTTGTTAGTGATTTACATGTTGGCCTTGTGGGTGGAAAGGATATAAATAATAAGCTAGAAACTGAACAGGATGAAGAGAGAATTCCTAGAGAAGATTTGCATGTTGGTCTTCAAGAACTTGAAAAGAGAAAAATGGACCATCCCGAAAGTGATGTCATTAATAATTTAAATATTGGCTTTCTGAGTGGGGAGGATATAAAGGAGAAGCTAGAAACTGAACAGGATGATGAGAGAATCAGAAGAGATGATTTACATGTGAATCTTAAAGAATCCCAAGAGAGAAATACAGGACATGCCGAAAGTGAAGTCGCTAATGATTTACATGTTGGTCTTGTGGGTGGAAAGGATAAAACTGAACAGGGAGAAGGTATAATCCCAGTGGATCATTCACATGTTGGTCTTCAAGAATCCCAAGAGAGGAAAATGGATCATGCTGAATATGAAGTTAGTAGTATACATGATATTTGGGGTGAAAAGGATCCAAAGGAGAAGCTAGAAATTGAACAGGAAGAAGATAGAATCCCAAGAGATAACTTAGATGTTGGTGGTCAAGAATCTCAAGAGAGACAGATGAAAATGGGTGAGAGTAAAGTCATTGATAATTTACATGCTGATCTTGTGTGTGGAAAGGATATAAACAAGAAACTAGAAACTGAACATGAACTGAGAATCCCTAGAGATGATTTACATGTTGGTCTTTGGGAACCCCAAGAGATAACAATCAGTCATGCTGAAAGCGAGGTTAATAATTTACAAGTTGGCCTTGCTGGGGGTAAGGATATAAAGGAGAAACTAGAAACTGAGCAGGATGAAGAAGCAATCCGACTAGATGATTTAAATGTCAGTCGTCAAGAACCCCAAGAGGTAAAAATGGACCATGCTGAAAGTGAAGTCATTAATAGTTTACATGTTGGTCTTGAGGGTGGAAAGGATATAAAGGAGAAGCCAGAAATTGATCAAGTAAAAAAGAGTCTCCCAGGAGATGACTTACACGTCAGTGTTCAAGAATCCCAAGATAGAGAAATGAAAACGGGGCATGCTGAAGGTGAAGTTAATAATTTACATGCTTGTCTTATGGGTGGAAAGGAGGATGTAAAGGAGAAACTAGAAACTGAACGGGATGCAGAGATCCTGGTTGATGCACAAAATTTGTCAGCAATTAACTCAGCCAGTGGCCATAATACAGAAAAGGCAGCAAAAATAAATGTCACTGAAGATGCCAGCTCTAGTGCTAACGCCGAAAGAAATAAATCAACAAATAGGCTTCCTGACCAAGAAAATGAATGGAAATCCAGAATTGAAATTCTTGAGGAAGAATTAAGGGAAGCTGCTGCTGTTGAGGTTAGCCTTTATTCTATAGTTGCTGAACATGTGAGTTCTTCAAACAAGGTTCATGCTCCAGCTCGCCGCCTCTCAAGGCTCTACTTTCATGCTTGCAAGGTGAAGTCTCAAACTAAACAAGCAAGTTGTGCAAGAACTGCTGTCTCAGGTTTAGCTTTGGTCTCTAAAGCATGTGGAAATGACGTTCCCAGGTGCATATTCCTTTCCAAAATCTCGTTACACTTTGCTTTACAAGTTATGCTTTAGCAACTTGAGGTTTGAAATATTCCGTTTACAGGTTGACTTTTTGGTTATCAAACACAATCATGTTGAGAGCAATTGTTAGCCAGGCTGCTGCAGACACAGTAGACAAGAATAGACCAAATATCGGAAGCCCTGGTGATAAAACTGGGGACAAAGGCAGATATTCGGAGCAAAATTGTGAGTTTGATTACACTAATGAAGGAAGGAAGAGTGTAACAAATGAACAGACTGACTGGGGAGATAGGGATGTATTTACCCTTGCACTCGAACAAGTTGAAGCTTGGATCTTCTCCCGAATTGTTGAGTCTGTGTGGTGGCAGGTTGAATTCCGTGTTGCAGTTTTTAACATTATTTTCTTTCCTTAGTAATTCAGTTAATCAGTTTGTAATCAATAAGCAGTTTTTTTCAAGGTCAGTGCTATAGTTTATTTTGTGTTACACTCCAGATTTTCATTCCACATATGCAAAGAACTGTTGCAAAAACAAGTGGCGGATCTGTGAGCTCAAATTGTAAGAAGGGAACTAGGCATGGTTTTGGAGATGAAGAGCCTGGTAGTTTCTCAATAGATCTTTGGGAGAAGGCTTTCCGGGATGCTTGTGAAAGGCTGTGCCCAGTTAGGGCGGAAGGACATGAGTGTGGCTGCTTGTCGATGCTGGCAAAAATGGTATGTTGATAGTGTGTGATATACTCGAATTTGTACATCAAGTATTCAAGTGTCACAGAGAGAATATACTTGACTTATCTACCAACTTATCCAAACATCTAAATAATAAGGCACTATGCCCCACATTGCCCCTTTTGTCTTTCTGATAGATAGACTTCCTATCTATTAAGAAACACATTTGGGGTTTATTTCCCGTGTTCATCTGACTGCAGGGAGTGCCTTAGTATGTGATCATTATCAGGATCAACAGACAAGCTTGCATAAGCAATTTGTTGTATTTGCTGTTTTAATTGATGACTAACTTCATCACACTTCTGTTTCAATTGTGTAGGTTATGGAACAGCTAGTGAGTAGACTGGATGTGGCGATGTTCAACGCCATTCTTCGTGTCTCAGCTGATGAAATGCCAACAGATCCTGTGTCAGATCCCATTAGTAATCCTAAGGTCCTCCCAATCCCTGTTGGGAAATTAAGCTTTGGGGCTGGTGCACAACTAAAAAATGCTGTGAGTAGTCATTTCTTTCTATTCAATATTACTTATTGTCAGCTTCATCGGTAATATGATGGTTTTCGCTTGGCCTGACTGTTGGAGTATAATGAGAGTGAATTTTGTTGGATCTATGAACTCCACTTAGAATGCATTCTTTGGAAATTCTCTCTATAGGAACCAAATAGAGGTGTAGTTTCAGAGTGACATTATATGTATTCTTTATTTGCCACCGAGACAGTGAGACATCGATTATGAGTGGTATTATTTGAACATTTTGGTTGCTTTCTTGTTGCTGACAGGTTGGAAACTGGTCTAGATGGCTGTCTGATTTATTCGAAACTGAAGATAACGAGTTTCCTGATAGTAGCAACACTATGCTTGTGGAAGACAAGCAACACGAGTCTCACAAGCCTTTCCGCCTCCTCAATGCGCTAAGTGACCTCATGATGCTACCATTCGAAATGCTGGCCGATCCATTAACAAGAAAAGAAGTGAGTACCTTTCTAGCTAGTAGCTTGTGTAATCCAAACATCAAACACCAGTACTGCATAAACACATTAATGCTCAAATTTTTTACATTTTAAAATTTTGAAGGTTTCCCCATTGTTCAGCCCATCGCTGATCAAGATAATTCTCAGCCTTTATGTTCCTGATGAGTTCTCCCCACACCCAGTTCCCGAAGAAGTATTTGTGGCTCTCGATTCTGAGGTTAAAATACTCTCCAAGCTTCATCATTACTTGCAGATTATTATTATTGTTGTTGTTGTTAAACTTTTCTTCCTTTCTCAAGGATGATATGGATGCTTCCAGTGACTCTTTCACTATGGTACCATGTACTGCCACCCCCACTGTTTACTCACCCCCAACAGCAGCCTCGGTTACTAGGTTTATGGGAGAGTCTGGAACCCAATCTTTAGCACGAAGCGCGTCATCTGTTCTCAAGAAATCATACACAAGTGATGATGAGCTAGACGAGGTGGACTCACCCCTGACTTCAATTATAGCTGATAGATCACGGGGCTGTCCTACTTCAACAAACATGAAATGGACTCCGGGAGTAAAGGGCGGTCGAAATCTTATCAGGTATCAGCTACTTCGAGAGTTATGGAGAGATGGTCAGTGAAAACTGGTGCAAGATCAGGTAAATTTGTACAGAGTTTCCATTTGTTATCATGAATTTCCTTCTGAAAATTTTGAGTTCCCAAAGAAAGAAGAGACACATAGTAATCCAGAATAAGAGATTAATCATTTTGAAGTATCTTATATAGTTATATTACATGGCATTGAGTTATAAAGTTGTCCTGAAAATAATGAAGCTAATAGGAACACATAGTGACTATCATCAGAGCTTCAAAGAAAGCGTACTTTTAATTCCCCCTTCAAGTCCCTTTTGTCCTGACAGGGTTTTGAGGCTCAATAGAATGGAGATCTCTAACCTCCATGTGCTCCCAAAGAATTATATTACTGAAAAAACCTTTTTGCTTTATTCCTGCAAAAAAAAAAAAAAAAAAAAAAAAGAGAGATTAGCGATGATGATCTTACGTGCTCAGATATCATACAGCATATTTTGAAGCACTGAAACCTGTCAATAGGTCCAAGGAATGTTAGAAGTAAGAAAATGTTTGGATTTGTGATTATAGAGGGAGAGATTACATTTTTGATAGTTGGCCACCAGAATGGTTTTGCAGTGCATCATAGTGGCCATAGCCATGATATAAAACACAAATAGGCTTGTCCTTCCCATATTCTTGACCATATTCAGCTATAACCTTAAGGCAAGTAGTCTTCTTATCCCACATGTACACTGTGATGGGAGACCTGCAAAGTTTCAACAAAATTCAAAGATGGAAAATAAATGCAGGATGCAGGAATATATCTTAGGCTCTTAGCATCTACTAAAACTGATTAAGAAACTATGTGTGCATTTACATTTACATTTACATTTACAAACCCAAAAAAAAAAAAAAATCATTTTTCTTGAGAAATGAAAAATTAAAGAAGCAAAAGACCTACTGTAGAACATGTGAGGACATCAGCAGTTCAGGTTCACCTCCCCAGATATGGGGCTGTCTCATCTGTGTGACATATGCATCAAAATCACCTTCAACAAACCTGAACCAAAATTGTATTAACGATTTACTAAGTTTCTTGAGTACTAACAAGAACCCTAAAAGTTAACAATCAAACTTCGTTTCTTGAGAATACATGTAGTATTACACGATTTCTTACAAGCTATTGTAGAAAAAGCCTTGGCATATTAAAATTTGAGAGTATACAAGAATAAACTACCATTCAGCATCTGCTCGTCTCTTGATAAACTCCTCCACAACCTGTAAAACAAATCGATGTTTTTATTGGTAACTAATGAACAATGTGCAAGCATGTTTTCAGGGTTTTTTTCACTTTTGATTCCATGATTATGATATCATTTTTACATTTAGTTCCCGTTTCACATTTGGTCCCATAACTTTATAATCCTTGTTACATTTAGTCCCTACAACTTAATTTTTGATCACCGACTTATTTTAAAGGGTAAAATTGTTATTTTCTATTATTTTTTTTTTTAAAAAAAACTTCTAAAGAAAGGGATTGAAAATGACAATTTTGCCCTTTAAAATAAGTCATTTGCCTGTCCTGGCTGTCCGTGATCATAAATTAGGTCGGAGGGGCCGCGGTAAATATTTAAAATTTGTGAGACCAAATGTGAAAAATTAATAATCAGCAACCAATTGTGGAAACGGACCCACATAGTTGTGAGACCAAAAATGGAAAAAACTCCATGTTGTCATTACTTGGGGTAGTAAGAACAGCACTACAGTGAAGTATAGCCAGGCAAAATATGCAGAAGTTGCTCTCGCATAATAAGGATTTCAGAGTAGTTCAAAATAGAAATGCGCCATTGGGTTGTCAATAAAGAATACATCGTGAGGATCTATAACTCATTTAGATGTAAAGATAAAGTTCTCTTACTTTTTCTCTGAGCTCATCAGCGAGTTCTCTTTCGTAGCTTTCACCTGGCGATGGCTTTCCTTCTCTTAGCCGAGCCCCATGAACCACTGAACGGAACAAGCATCTTCCATCCCCTGGTATCCCTGCACAATATGAGCAACATACATCATCATCATCAATATACATGTTTACTCGTTCAAACCCAAAATGGATTTCTTAGCCAAAACCAACTTGCAGGAGGCTACTATGATCAAGATAAGCCTATCCTATAAGATTATACAATTTCTACTTCCATGATGAATATCAACATGTACCACATAGCCAAGAGAATGCCTAGACCTTAACAAAAATGGATTGGCAAACTTGTGCATTTACTAACCATAAAAATTCTTTATTTTTCTAGAAAAATAGAAAGCTAGAGAGAGAAAAACAACAAATGCATTTCTTTTACAGATTATGCCATACTTATCTTAAGTCCCCAAAACCCATGCCCATGAGTCAGAAGAGGTAAATCGCGACTAATGACCCCCAATTCCTAGTGGATTCGAACCCCTACACCGGCACCAAAGCAATATACTTTATCTTTGGAGAATGGAAAACGAAATGAAAAACAGAGAAAATTGGAGTAAAGGGTGATATTTTTCACACAACAATCAATTCCTCATCATCACCAAAACATGAAAAGACCATAACCAAGCAAGAGAAAAACAGTAGGTGGGATTTCATACCCAATCCCTCTTCCATATCAGCTACCAAGACTTTCCAGAAACACGAAACCTCGCAGTAATCTCGTTATAGCATTAATAAAGTTAGTTCTAAAAGCAAGATGACTAAGCTACGCAAAAGCAAGCCTTCTTTTCACGAAAAGAATAAGAAATCCATCAATTAACTCAATCAATCCATTCAAGGCACGCAACAGTCTATCAATGCAAGACCCAAATACTCATTCCTTAAAATTAAAAAAATAAAATAATTACAGCACAGTAAAACTTCTGCAGCATAAAGAAAATACATGACAAGAACAAATTGAAAAAAAAAAAACAAAAACAGCAAGACATACAAATGGTACGAAGATTGTTACCGGCCGAAAGTTGTGGTTTTTGCATGAATACAAACAAGAAATTTCACGCATCAACAACGGAATTCATTGCATAATTGACTTTAAATAGAACAATTTGGTTTTTTATTTTTCTTTTTGTCATTTTTACCCGATTCTGATTCTTCTGACCTCGAAAGAGCGACAATGAGAGGTGTGAGAGGACGCAGAGCGCTTCAATTGAACTGAGATGTAAAGACGAAACACTGAAAGAGAAAGTGATTCGAATCGGATTCCATTCCAGCCTTTCCAGGACCTCCCCCGGAGTAAAGCGCGGGGAACTGGAGAATACGACCCGGTTAGTTACTCGATCGGATGTTCGACCCGCCTTTTTTTGCTTTCTAACTTATAAAATGAGAAGAAATTTTTTAATTTTTTTTTTTGAATATCAAGAATTTATAATAGTTCTATAACAACCTCGAGGGGAAGGCCAAATTTAATTTTTTTTGAATGTCACTGGCCCTATTACATTGTAGTATCTGTTCATATACTTTCTCAACCTACTGAGACACAAAGAACCGATAACACCTCCACTGAGGCTCGAACTTGTAACCTTCCAAATGAAAGTCCAACCCGGGTACCATTAGACCACATAGTCTTGGTCAAATTTAATTTGAATTAGAGTTTTTTTTTAAAAAAATTAGAGTTAAATACTTGATTTGGTCTCTCGACTATTAGGATTTCACCACTTTAGTTCTCGATTTTCAAACTTGCTTAATTTCATCCTCAACTATGCAATTGTTAACCAAAACGGTCCTAATCAAAATTATTTTAATTTGGATAAAAGACTAATTTAGGTAAAAAATTATATAATTGAGGATAAAATTAAATAAATTTGAAAGTCGATAATTAAAATGGTAAAATCTTAATAATCGGGGAATCAAATTGGATATTTACTCTTTAAAATTTAAATTAATAGAAACATCCAAGCTGGGCATAATTTCCAAAAAGGACTCAAAATTTTGTTTCTCACGGAGGTTACAAACCTCACCAATAACATAATTCATATTAATAAAGATAACTTAGATGACAGAATCATGTTCTACTCTCTGTTTAGTGTCTTTAGCCTAGAAAAATCTTGCTAAATACAAGTTGAATTTATTTTTCTCTATTGACCCCTTCAAATGATAAACAAAATTATTAAAGATATATGATTTGCGGGTCATTATTTTAATTATTACTATTTGCTGTTAAAACAAAACCTTGTAAATTGTAATTGTATTGATATAGTTATCATTTTGTATGTTTGAAACTTAAGACTTCTCATAACTTCTGCCTTAAGACTAATGGATGAAGTAAATCAGGGGATTATGCGCCTCAACTAGCTAGTAAGATTCGTATGTGCCTCAACTAGCTGGTAAAATCTGTATGTGTCTCTCTATTGGATGGGTAAGACTCAAAACCAATCTGTATGTGTCTCTCTATTGGATGGGTAAGACTCAAAACCTATATCGCACCATTGCTAGCTAAGTTTATAAACTTATTTTTATTTTGATTGCTAAGTTTATAAACTTATTTTTATTTTGATTAATTGACCAGTTGAATTGTGTCCGGTATAACTATCATTTGTTGAAAAGAGTAAAAAGAAAAACATGGTTCAGAGCATATACGTGTTGGAAACTTTAACCGGTTGGCTATTCTAAAACGGGAGAGGAAAAAAAGATCCATATATTACAACTGTACATCTCTTTTTCTGAAAGCTAAATAGCCTATTGGGGACAGGTGAATATATATAAAAACAGAGAGGATTTTACAGGCTAAACAGAATAATCTAACACTGGTATACAGAAAAACTTTTGTTCTTCCACAAAAAACTCAGAGCTTTTCCAAGTTTTCTTTTCGAGGTCGACTTGGTCAGTGGTTTCGGGTTTTCAGCAGGCGTGGCAGAATCGCTGTCCTCAGGCTGAGTTGTCTTAGCTGCTGTTGAGGGTTCTTTCTGTCGCTGTTCGCGGAACAACATCAAGAGCTTCTGAGCTTTCTGTTTTCCTCGCATCGTTCCGTTCACAGACATTGATACCAAAGAAGGTATCACGCCTTCTTGGAGGACCATCTGGCTGCATTTCTCGTTTCCATTGCAGAGTAATACAAGACACGCAGCAGCTTGTTCCTGTTCCGGAGGCTCGCCTAAGTCCAAAATAGACGAGAGCCTGCTGATGAGGCCGGGAGCTGATATGATTTCATCTTTTGCGGGCTTGCTTGAAGCCAGGTTGATAAGAACAGCTACGCATTTTTCTGCCCAGGCATGATCATCGGAGTGTGTCATCACAGCGAGAAGACCATCAGTTATCCCGGCTGACATAAGGTGCGGTATGTTGGTTGGAAGGGTGGAGAGGTTAAAAAGTGTGTGGAGAGCATCCAGCTTGCACTGGGGATCAGTCTCTTGCTGAAGGACCCCGATCAAGAAGGGCACAGCTTCGCTGGTTCCAATAACAGGCTTGGCTTCTTCGTGGCCGGAAAGGTTCAGGTAGAGGGCCGTTGCTGCAGCAATAGAGCTAGAATTAGCAATCATTTTCTCCAAAAATGGAAGTACTCCGGCTGCCAACATCGTTTCTTTGTTTCTGAAAAGCAAGTTGTAGAAGTTCATTAAAAACTCTTTCGAGCTTCGTGACAAAGGCATAAAAGGAAAACAAAACACATTGACTTGAACACTAAAGAATTGAATAAGCAGGACGTTTTCACCATAAAAGCCTAAATCTATAATTCTAGAGCCAATTATATAAAATATCATACCTATTATTATCTACGCCAAGGTTGAAGAGAGCCATGGCTCCAATTTCCTGAGCCATCTCGTTTCTAGCTTGGACAGCAGACTCCAAAAACAGCATCAAAGCCTCAATAAAACCATTTGCCCCCATATACATCCTGACTTCTTCATCATCCTTTACCAAATGTCTTATCTGTTCTACCACTTTGCACTTTTTCCTTAAATCAACCTCTTGGTCTAAAATGGCTAACAAATCATCATATCTTTCAATGGCATTAGACTGGAATTCATCGTCAAGTGCAGAAGAATCTACTTCGTTCCCTTCGGCCTCCTCAATGATACCACTATCCTCCAAAGGGACCACCTTAATACCCTTGAGCTTGCAGGAGCCAATGCTTTCAATTGATTGGGAATTTGCAGATTCACTTTGAGAAAATGCCAGCCTCCAGTAGTTGAGGTCAAGAGACTCAGGTGGGCCATCTGGAATAGGAACTCCATTGTGTTCACACCAACTAGCAATCAAACCTTTCACACAGTAATTAGAAGTCAAACCAAGATGAGGAAGCTCCTGTTGAGTTTTAGGGCATGTGTTGTGCCCATCACTAAACCACTTCTCAATACAAACCCTTTCATATGTTTGCCCAGAAGCAATAATCACTGGGTCAAACATTAGGTGCAATGAGATTGGACACCTCAACTCTTCAGGAGGGATAGGCATGTGGTCTGATCTCCCAAAGTTCGGTTTGAAATTAAAAGAACTCAGCTTTGAAAGTTGGCGATCAAAGGCATGGACATGGCCTCCTGGTCCAATACCATCCTCTAGAGATCCCTGAACCGTTGGAGAGCATGGCGTTGAACCCTGTGAATCATTGTCATCTGAGAGTTCACTTCTAAATAACTTTGAGTATTTTCTTAGTAGGTGCATCAGATAAGCAACAATTGACTCCTTCCTTTTGTCTTCTTCAGCCTGTGCTCTTTCCATGAGTTTTCTCAAAGCCCTTCTTTCTCTAAGAGCTGCCCTTGAAGAGGTAATACCAAGTCTAGAAGCAGCCTGGTGAAAAGTTTCAAGTTCACTATTGTCGCTCTCATTTCTATTGAACTTCCTTCCTTGCTGAAGTAATGCAATTATATCATCACCAACCTGTTTCTCAATTGGATCGATTGAGAACTCAATCCCCTGAAGTTCACTTAGAATTGAAGAAATCTGAAACAAGAGAGATTACAATTAAAATAAAGCTACAAGTAGTGCTGACTTCTGAAGTAACTGACATAGAACTATGAGATATACTAACAGTAGCTTATGAAGAACCCAAAGGAAATATGCAGATTTGGACCATAAAAGAACATATTAGGGAGTATTTGGAACTGACAGGAACAAACACTCAACAATTGGACCAAATGAAGTATATGAAATAATAATTATTGGTCCCAACCAATGATCAGAGAGATTAAAGACACCACGTAAAAAAATGCACACGCTTAGTTGTATTCTTTTACCAGAGAGTTTTTTTAAATAAACTTTAAAAGTCAAATTAATTTTTCTTTTTGTTAAAGCAATATTCTAGTTAATAAGCTGAGAAATAAAGATGAATATTACCTGACAACCAATGGTTTGTGGAACTATATCTTCAACCCGATTTAGACCATCTTGAAGAGCACATCTTGATCTCTCAAATTTAAGTACAATAGAGTCTCCAGTTATTGCCTGATCAAATAAAAATATCAGTTCACATTTTTTAGAAGGAAAAAAAAAAAAAGGGAAAACATCCTCCATTGCATCAGATGCCAGAATTATTGTTAACATATATTCTATAGCTCCAAATTACTAAGTAATAATAACAATGCACAATAAATCAGTGAGAGTGGCAGTTAGACTTGTAGCTAACCAGTGCCACAGAAGCCTATTCCCAATATGAACATTCACTGCTAGACCATAAAAGGATGCAATGTCCTTACCAGGTATAGTTTACTGCATTCAGCACAGTGCTGAAGAATATTCTTTGTCTTCTCAAGGGCTATATGCAGAGCACACAATGCCTGAATACCTGTAGTGCTTCTTGGTCGAGCCGCTTCCAGTTCAGGAAAAATTCCCAACACTTTTGCATAGATGGCAGATAGACTCTTGCACATTCCTCCATGTAGCTGCACTAGTAACCACATATTCATCACACACTTGACAAGCAAGAAATGAAGAAAACCCAGAGAAACATCCAACCAATATTCACTTAAATAGAGAGAGAAAGATAGAGAGGATAAACTCTCCCGAAACAGTGAAACATATAGCACCAGGTTCAATGGGAAACTTTTGACCTTAAAATAAAATTGAGTAAAAGGTAGCAAAGAAAGAATTTTAAAGGAAGCTCATATTCAACAAATCTTAACTATTTGAAATTTTTTGCTTTCATAGGTCTACGAAGTATTCACCTCATAGAATAAAGCACATCACATTCAACAGTCCAATGTTTTAAATGAATAAATCAACAAATACAGGCCACTTCCAAGAAAAAACAGAAATAGAAAATTTTAAATAAAAAAAATGAAAATCTGAGGAGGCAAACAAGTAACATCATAGTCATTACACAGCGCATACCTTAGGTTCACCAATTGAGCATAAATTTTCTTCAACCTCAGAATTATCCATTATTTCACATTTAACACAGAAAAGAACAATCCTGCCGCTTATTATCTGCGTGCCAATAAACCAATCTGAACATATTAAGTTTTTGCACCAGGACCATAATAATCAACAAAAGACAAACAAGCAATCATTATTTATAAGTTACTTCAGCAAAGGATTCTATTTCCTTAGGTGTAAGAAGTGGAAAGACAAAACTAGACATTTCAAAAACCACATACAATAATGCAGCCACAGTGTATATGCTGCAAACACCACAATTTGACAATTAGTCAAACTTGTGGAACAGAAAATCCCATGTTTCTAAACTGAGAAAATTTCAGAAAAATGAAAATAAACAATTATAGATTGATAACAAATTATTAACAGTCTGCCTTTTGATTCAAAAACTAATGATTTCAAATCAAATCAAGAATTTAAACAGCATTTTTACCTAATTGATTAGCAATCACATATTTCGATTCACCAAATAAACTATTTACTAAAATTTCAATCCAACGAGACAGACAAGCACAATAGAATGAAAAAGACCTTCCAGAGCTCAACAAATCACATTACCCAAAAAAAACCAAAAAAATAATAATAAATTTGCTAAGCTTAAGATAGTATAAAAATGAAAACAAAAAATAGCAGAAAATTCAAAAGCAGAAGCATTTCATTTCTGATGACGGAAGCTAGGGTTTGGAGCTCAAAACTCACCGAAATAAACAGAACAGCATCAAAGGAGGCTTCATCAACGAAGCACTAAGACAGTAATGTGTGGTCGCAGTAGATAATATTCGAATATATATACATGTATTGCTAATATAGATATACGACGGAGCTCAGTATTCAGATCAAGAGATTTTTAGAGAGAGAAAACTGGGACGCAGGAGAGAGAGAGAGAGAGAGAAGAAGAGTGCTTTTTCAGGGTTATTAAAGAAGAGAGGATGAAGGAATAGAATTCATGAAAGAGCCATCAGAGTAGTTTTCTTATTACAGAGGGAATATTTAAATTATTATTTAATTTTGGGGGGTCAATTATAAATAAACGGTTCCTGGAGGAGGGACCAGAATTGCAAATTATTACCCCCAAAGCCGAATATCATTATTTGGCCATACTCCTCATTTTTTTTTTTTTTACATCCACTATTGAGAATATATTGCACCAGGACTATGTGGTCTAATGGTACCCGGGTTGGACTTCCATTTAGAAGATTATGAGTTTAAGCTTCAGTGGAGGCGTTATTGGTTCTTTGTGTTTCAGTAGGTTGAGAAAGTATATGAGACGATACTACAATGTAATAGAGCCAGTAACTTTCAAAAAAAAATTGAGAACCTTTTCATAAATCGCACTATAAATAAGGGCTCGAATTAAAAAGCTAATATGCACTCTGAGAGAGTGGTGTTAATAATCGAACGCATATGTATCTAAGTACGAAAATCATATTTTATCAACGTAGTCACCTATTTTAGAGCATATTATCTTTTTTTTTTTACCTATTATTGTAGACAAAATTCTAGTTGCGACCAGCTTAGATAAACGTCATATTGTATTACTAAATGTTATTATTTGAAAAAGACGATAACGTAACGATAACCAACTTCACTGACGTCCAGATCTAATATTCAATCTTTGCACATATTTCGATAGGTATGAAGACAAATTTCTAGACAAATTCAATCTAATTTGGTCTTGATCGTAATATGATAAAGTTGCATCTTTGTCCAAAGTTCGGATAGAGATAGACAAAGATTAATAAGATTCAAGGTTGTCAACTATTGATATAAACGACGGTTGTGTAATCTAAACACTCAAATAAAACCCAATGACTATCCAATGTTAGGTTTGTTGCTTATATAATACTTCGTACATGGGTTAACGAGTAAAGTATTATATTTTCATTACAAAAAAGTGTTACATATTTAATATTTGTCTCATTACTTTCATATTGGACGATTTAACATAAGATAAATTATATTTTAGAGCATCTTGAAGGTATACTCTACCTTTATGCCTAATTTAGCTTCCGTAAATTATATCGTGAATTATGGTCCACCATGTGCATTGTAGATGTACTTGCAATTACATATTATATACATGTTTTAACCTTTTGTTATAAGTTTTTAATAGGTAAATTGTAAGTAAATAAACCAAAGTTACATAATATCTCAATTGTATTTAACACAATTTTTTTGAATGTGTATTTAACACAAATTGACTAATTTATTATTTAAATTACTTATTACTTTATTATTATATACAAAAAATTTATCTGCATATAAAACTAAAATAAAATATATGCACATTCAATATTCTCATTAAATAAATTTTCTTAAATTCTATATGAGAATAAATTTCATTGGAATATTTCTGATCGGAACAATAATTCTTAAAATTCTTGGAGCCAAATTGGGCTGATACGTCAATTTCGTCACCCCGGCACACCGGCCGACAATTGCCGAGTGCCGACCATCCGAGGTTGTCGATATGCACACCTGTAAAAACCCTGCTCCGTTTTCCATTTGTACCCCTTCCAAAATTGAAAAGATTTTTCCTAATGCGGCTATTTCTCCGTTACTCAGTCAATTTAAAATCTTATAGCTACTAATTAAGTAAATTATACGACTAGTTGGACTGGGAACATTCCCTTATCTTGTCATTTATTCGCTACTCTAAAGTACACTTTAGATGAAGTATGCAATTCAATAGACAGTTCTCAGCTTGGGACTTTATAGCTACTACTATATGTGACTAACTCGACTGGGATATCCCTTCGCTATTGTTTAGTTATCTTTTGTTATTTTTTTTTTTTTTTTTATCTACTACTATACGTGACTAACTCGACTGAGATATTCCTTTGCTATTGTTTATTTATCTTTTGTTTATTTTTTTATTTTTAATGATTGAAATTTTATTATCGAAATATGTTTAAAATGTCATTTTTTGAATGACACTAGCTCTATTACAATGTAAATATACTTTCTCAACCTACTAAAACACAAGGAGCTAATAATGTCTCCACTAAGGCTCGAACTCACAATCTTCCTAATAGAAGTGCAATCCAGGTACCATTAGATCACATAGTCCTAAATGTTTAAAATGTCGTTAATTTACAAATTTAGTTAGGTATACAAATGTGAAATGAAGAAACGTATGATATGAATGTTAGAGAAGCATGCAAATTTAAGAAACATAAATGTGTATTTGTACATTTTTTTATATGCATAAATATTAATTGTTTACAAATTTTTATTTATAGGAGTGTTTGGTAAATATTTGTTAGATGATTGTGTTAGTGGATTTGGCTAGTTGATAACATTAGCTGATTGTAGAAAAGTGTTTGGTAAATTAGCTATTATATAATAACTGATTACATGTAAAATGACTTTCTCAAAAAGTTTATTTAAAAAAAAAAAAAAAACTATTTTAAGCAACTTGTTGAATTTTAGCATTTTGGAGCAATAAGCTGTTACAAAAAAACAAATTAATTAAACACTCATATTGATTGTTTAACCAAATCAAACAGCTAATAGTGATCAAATAATCTAAAATTGACTGATAAGCTAACTATTTTACCAACAAATTATTAACTATTTAATTCCAATTCCGATATAACAACGCAACTGCACCTAATTCAAATGACGTTTCAATTATTTCTAAACACTAAAAATCACTTTTTGTCAATGATATTGTTCATGGAAAGTCATTTTCATTATGATTATATTTAATGTATTAAAATAAAACAAATAATCAATTGTAATCAAACACTAACTAAAAAAGGTGGTCAAAATGGGGAATTTGAAATTCGGAAAGTACCAACAGGCACGCATATATTATTCAATTTTAATTAGTGGATTTTGACTGTTTCATTCTTCCATTTTTAGGAGATTATAAGTGGAAAAATGAGTCAATAGTGAATAAGCATGCAGCAATAGACTACTAGATAGATATAGTGAGGTATGACGTGTGATATTTTTCGTAAAATAAGAAACACTTGCCCACATGAAATGTAAATTAATTACCTAATTCTAGTATTATTTCCACTCAACCTATTCATTAAAGCTAGATTACATGACTCAAGTTATTAATTAGAAGCTAGATTACATGCATGTCTTGAAAAAATAATCTAGTAAAGGAAGTCTGATTTTTATATTCATGCATTTCATTCTTATAAACACCCCCTTGATCGAATTTGTCACACATTATTTTTATACTACGTGTAATTTGTGGGTATGACATAGCTAGTAGTGAAGTTTATATAGTACACACAATCAGCTATGAGTTTCTCTTGCCACAACCGCATGTCCCCACCCCCTCAACCCAAAAGGCTAGATCGATAAGTTTAGTGAATACAATTTTTTAGGGAACCTCGAGACAAGTTGATTAGACTATTGGTTAATTTGGTAATTCCAATGAGAATGACATATTGGTCTCATAAGCTGGTTTATCTTCGTGCAGGAAGATTCATTAATTTTCTTTGTGCGGTAGCCTCAATCAACAAGACGTTTGATAACAATCAAACCTGCAACTTTCAGTTATGAAACTTATGCTCTAGCCATTTAGTTACCCCTTTGACTATGTGGGGCTCGTTAAGTAGAGGGTTATGTCTAATCGTGACTTTGATTGTTTTTATTTATTTTTGCTATCTTCTTATTCTTCTTTAAAAAATAAAATAATAAAAAAGAGTTGATTTAAATGATAAATAATATATAAAATGGAATAGAGAGTTGGGGAAAAAAAATCAATACAAATCGTGTTGCGTAATTTGCGTTATTGGATATTTGTTACTATTATTAATTTATTACTAATATTATTATTATGGAGTGGGGGGCAGTTTTGTAATTGCACATAACGCTGCATGCAACATTAGCGGTAGTCGACATCCCCTAGTCGTGCGGAAAAAAACAGCGGAATCCGGAACGTGTCCATCCGGCCCCGGATCACGCTCGTCCACGTGGTCATGTTTTGGGCCATCGATTTTCGGCACGGCAGTAATTACGTTGGAATCTCAAAACCTCAGATCCGAAATTCTCGGCCCCCTTTCTCTTGTAATTTTACCCTCCAATCCCTAAATTTTCAACCCATAAAATGTCTTTTTTGCCGACGCTGACGTGGCAATATGATTCACACACATTTTGTATTTAAACCTCACCAAGTCACAATCTCTCATATTCTCATGATTTCGTTTCACTGTGGGTCGTTAAGACATCGACATCTTAAAAAGGAGATAGAATTATGAGGTTCAAAGTTATTTAATTTTTTAATTATAATTTTTTGTTTCTTAAATGTAAGAATTATATTTATATATATATATATTTTTTACTTTTTCTAACAAACTAACAAAATTTTTTTTTAATTTTTTTTTGAGTATTATTGACTCTATTATAATTTTACTATCTGTTTTTTTTAATCTTTAATTAGTTACACGTGCTTAATTATTTTTAGTTAGTACTAATGATTAGGATTTATTTATTCATTTATTTCATTTTTCATTTCTCTATTTTTTATTTTTACAAATTTTCAACTACACTTTTAAAAATTAATTTTCAACTACATTTTTAAATTTAATTTTCAAAAATTATATAATTACAAATTTAATACACTGATGTTATAATGAAAAGTAACAAACATTAATTAAAAATATTGAAATAACATTAATAAATAAGTTAGAACTATTTAAATTGAGTTATTTTAATTGTTACAAGTCTGATTCTGAAGGACTTGTGTTTAAATTGTTGTTTGCAAGGGAAAAAAAAAAACAAAAACAAAAACAAAGAGGAGTCGAAAAGAAAGAAAACAAAAAAAAAGTAGGTGAACTAAAAAAGGAAACCGAAGAAAGGGGAAATATAATGACGAGATTGTGAGGATAAAAATAATGAAAAAAGTTGAAAACATGAAAAAAAAAAAAAACAAAAAAAACAAAGAGGAGGAAAAAAGAATAGGAGGAGAGG